CAGGAATGCCTTTGTACAGTCATGCACTGTTCAGTGCAAAACTACAGCCCTACAAAGCTGCAAGTCACAGGGAAGACACTACACAGGATTTGAGCAGGTAAGAGGTGTTATGGAGTTCAGGACTCTGGATACACATTCATCCCCAAAAAAGTGCCAGGTTGTAGCACTGGAAGTGACCTGGAGGGGCAAGGGACAAGTACTGAGTCAGTTCCAGTCCTAGATTTCCCCCATCCAATTTATGGTTCACCCAAAGCTGAATGGCATGAAAGAACCATGGGTACAAAACAATCATCCCCCCCCCCTTACTGCTTTCCCCCATCTCCCTTCATCACAGTGCAAGAGGGCTGTGGCCATCTTCAACCCTGTCTTGCTGCCTTGCCTAATGCCACTCCTTCCTCTGCTGGTTCTCCTCTCTAATTACTCCTCCATCAAAGGTGGCCTCCCCCCACCCAACCCAAACACACACCTCAGCCCACAGCGCCCTTACCTTTCTACTCTATTTATACATAATATCCCTAGTGTGGGAACCACGTTCCCTTCACACCCCTCCTATCTGATCTATTTACAAGACCCACTCGATTCATTTGCCAGGCCCAGCCCACCTCGCCTGTCATCCATCATTCCCACCTCTGTGCAGCACGACACCAGCGCCTGCCACCTGCTCATTTGATTTTTATTTTTGTGGTAACTGTTGTGCTTTGAAAACACCCTCCATACAACTGCATAACCCTCCTCCAAATTATCCTCCGCTTGGCAAGTGTGGGAGCACTGCCTAATGCTAACCCACCCCTTCTCAGTATCCATGGTATTCATGTTTTGCCCTCCTCCTGTAACCATCTACTGCCCCTACTCTTACACTAAATCTCTCAGGGGTGGGACAAGCACCGCTGCCCTGTCCTGCCTGGGCAGTGCCTAGCCTGCCAGCATCGGGTGCAGGCTGGAAACAAAACTCAGAGGTTTGGAAAACATAACTAGCCAGCGTTCTGCCTCCCGCGGCCAAGAGCTGGCTACAGCCCTTCGCCGCCGGCTGTCCTGCAGTGCCCTCTACTGAGCCAGAGACACCTGCTCCTCCCCGGTCTCCACACTGCTCCTTTCTGTAAAGTAGGTCTCCGTTGCTCCTTGCCCTAATTTGGCAGAACCACAAGGTCCAATTCACTCCCCCGGTCCCAGTAGGCAGTGCCCAGGAAGAGCCATCTGCCATATGATGCTGTCTTTTGCCCTTTGCTCTCCCCCAATTTCTGGGTACAACGTTTTTGCATCCAGTTATTTCCAGCACCCAGGCACTAACCAAGCAGAAAAGGCAAATAGGCAGGGTCCAGTTTTTTGCCTTTAAAAACTTCATCATGGAGACCTCCCTGCTCAGCTCAAGGCCCAGACATGGCAGGTGCAGCCACCACTCCCTGCGAGTAGTAGGATGAGTTTAGGTGCAGACTGTTGCTTCCTCCATACCTGTGAGCAATCGTCAAAACAGTTTTGTCAGCAAAGCGCTGGCGGATGGTCTGCTGCAGCAGCTGGTCTGTCTTCTGATCCACGCTGGCTGTGGCCTCATCGATGCACAGCACCTGCCAGGGACAAACAGTTGAAGGGACCTCCCAAGCACCGCAGGGGAGACCCCAATCCCTGCCTAGAGACAGCCCGAGCAGGTAGCACAGGATGTCTATTCCCATCACACCCCCAACTCTGGAGCGCTCTGTTCTGCTGTCCTCACACAGCCTTCAGCAGCTCACCCTCCCCCTCGCTCCGATGGAAG